GCGTTTGCCATGAACGTCAGGCTAAACCTCTCTAATSAAGAACAAGATTAATTTCTTACCTGTCTACCTGTAGGCAGAAAGAACATCAAAACTTGTAGTGCAATCCATGGAACTAAGAAGTTCTTGAAACAAAAAGAAAAAAAAATCAACATGTGAGGACTGCTGTGTGCTAAAAATACTTAAGGTGAGTTGTTGATGGCCCAGTGGTAGATTAGTCTATGACTAAACTGGTTTACCATCATTAAATTAAATAAAGTTTATACTTAATACAAAAACCTATGAATTAACATAAATAATAGTATAAAAAATTTGACATGACCTTCCAAAAATGAATTTGGAAGGACATCTTGTCCTGTATATATATGTCTGGCTGTTATTTCGAGCCGTGCTGTGCAAGACCTGTATTATGACATATGCAGAAAACATGCCCACATTTTACGGAACCCTTCCTGGTACAGGCAACATTACAGTTTGACTGAATTATTGCATTTAAATCATCTGGASGACCTAAATTCTTCAGCAGTACATAATTGCAATAATTTTTTAGGGACATATCCAGAGACACAATATTTCTTAAGGGTTTAGGTTGGGATCRTTTCCAGGTTGATTTCATCAGGAGTTCAGACTACTTTGAAGTTCTTTAGGTCTCCAAAAAGTACAGATCTTCAACAGGATGAGGGGGAATATGAAGGGGGGTGGGAGGTMATGATATAAAATGGAATAGCCCATTACAATTATGGTACTTTTTTAAAAAATCATATACATATAAGTTCACAAACCTGTTGTATGTTATACTTTGTCGACAAAAGAACMAGYAACAGAGCTAGGATGAYATTTAAAACAAATCGTAACCAAGTATCAAGAGTGAATCTTTCTCGTTTGACAGGWTTGCGAGACTTTAATCTATCACTGTTTCCTTCGTTTCCATCGCACTCTTGTACCTCTCTTSTACGTTTTCTAAGCGGTTGATCACTTTCCTGACATACATCTCGTGCAGATGCACCTAATTGATTATTTGCTTCTGTTTTATCGGTCCTTTCTTTAGACTCTGTTTGAATTTCTCGTGACGATTGATCCTCCAGGGTTTCTACAAAATTCGGCTCTGCAAATGGTTTACCAAAATTMGATGAGCCAGATAACAAACCTGTAGACTCATCATCAATAACTGCTTCAGATGATTTGCTATCTAAGATTCTTTTAAGGCGAGAATCGGAGTTTTGTAATATTCTCTTTCGGCGAGCTTCTCGTCTTGCCTCAGCCGCCATCTTGGAAATGATTCCACAGGAATCCCGTCAACATATTGTCTACATAATTTTTCCTTCGGATCATCATGGATAATGGAGAGGATAAGCTTTCCGTAATATTTATTTACTAAACTCATTGAAAAATGAACAAAAAAAGAAATTCTTTTATTTTCTATTCTCAAGAAAAAGTTGTCCAGACTATGGCATGGYCCTATTCCTGGTTTTAGGAAACACAGACCTCACCCTCTGAAAATCAGACTACAATTACCGTTGTTTCCTACTGAGATTCTGCACTGAACCTCTTGCTTCCATCTGCGGTCAATGGTTTATTCTTGAGCTTGTACGGGCTTCCTGTGGTCATAGAGTAAGAAATGATTCATACCTATTAATAACTTAGCCTCGACTTCACGCTTCCTGTTAGAATTCGGGGAAATTACCATTGCACTATTTGGCTTCAACTCAGATCGATTCCTCTAGATCAGAGGACTGTTTTCTTAAATGAAGCGATCAACAGCAGATTGGTAAGTTGAACAGTACATACTTTTACTAAGGAATCTCTTTAATTTGTGAAAAGTGAGTTTCCAACTGTAAGTGGGTTACTACTGAGGCGACAGACAAACCGGAAGCCATTACATGGGATTGATGATCATTCTAGGTTCCTTAAATTACTTTTATATGATTCTATATTCTTAATATGATTTGATAGACTTATTATGGAAAGCAAAAAGAGAAGTTATCTCTATCAGTAGCAGGCCTGCTATAAATCTTTAAATTGCAAGCTACATTCGAGGAGCCCTAGAGGTTTCATTTTAAATTCTGTCGAGATACAGTGCGAATATCATTAAACCATTATTGATATCACTAGAAATAGAAGTTAACGATGTCATATGATTTCTAACACCACAATAAACCGCATGCATTTCATGAAATTTGATCAGCACTTTCGCTTTTTAATGCCATCGCGTGACATCGCGTGACTGGCTGTCATGACATTCTGTCTGGTCACACGATCTTTTGAAAAAACTTACTGTGAGTAACGGTATATAGAAGACTGGATAAGAAACCGTTTATATGGTTTCAATTGTTGATCAAATCATCAAACACAATTATGAAAGATTAGGAAAAAATAGTTCTTTTCTTGGGTTTACAAATATATCTTTAGAAAAATGTGGACCCAATAGATTTCACCTCTATATTTTGACATCAAGGAAAAGCTGATGTTATTACAGTAATTTAACACAGACCTAAAAACAACAAATTATGGACTTTTTGTCGAGCAGGGTTGATGTTAGTCTCCTAGCATCCGTTCTTAGTGGCGGGCTCCCTGTCCCCCGCCCCACAAACCCGTTGATATCTATCGAATACCAATTATGCAAAGCAGCTGTACGAAAAAAAAGCATATAATCGAAATCGACTCAACTTTGACGGCTGAAAAACAGAATATGAAATCAACATGAGGTTGAACTTTCCAACAGAATAAAGTAAAGCTTACATAGAAAAATCCCTGGTTTGTTGTTAAAGTTCGAACTTGTCAAT